ACCAGTGAATCGACAAGAATTTATCTTTAGGCTGTTATGAATTCATGACTAAACACTGCTTTAAGAAGTCAAGAGCTGGGAGCTACACTATAGTGATTAGCACATCAATTGAATTAGTATTAGCATTTGATTTCACACAAAAGTAACATAAGAAAATTAACTATCAACCATGGTCAGAAAATTAAAACTGCATAAACATCGTGAAAGCCATAGTCAGAATTCAGAAGTAGTGAAAGCCCATTCTAAGCTATAAAGTGCTGTTTAAACAAGTATGTTTGTTGTTAGCAAACACCTATGGTTTGAAAATCAAATTCAGAAGGAAAATTTTTATATCACAGAAGGCATTTGTTTAAGGGAACATACACATGCAAGTTCTTATAGTTTCACTCAATTTTAAATTTGATCATTGCATTTTTATTTTGTTTCAATCAAGCTCTTATACTTTCATCTATTATATATATTAACCCCTTGAAAATTAAAAATTAATTAATAATGAATTATTAAATCTTATAAAACAAAAATATCCTTAGAGTTTACAGAAAATTTAATTTAAAACTTTTAGCCAAAATCAAAGAAAGAAAATTTGATTTAATCCATTGTTTACATTTTTATTATATTTTTTATACAAAATTATACATGTATAAAAAATATTTAAAAGATAACCAAACTATATAAATTTTGAGTTACAAAATAATGTAATTAATTCTAAAGCCATCTAATCATTTAATAAAAATATAAAAGTTCTCAATTTTGTTTTTTTAAAGAAAAAACGTAAGGATTTTAATCTTCAAGAATTGAAAAATTTAATTGATCAGACTATAAAGGCTCAATTAAAACAAAATAAATTGTAGGGACTTAATTCAAAATTGAATGAAACTTTACCCTTTGTTTAAACACCTATATTTATTTCTAGAAAGAATTAGCACAAGAAGCATGACGATACAAAATTTTCAACCAAAAAGTTCAATGCGGTTTAGATTACTGAAAGTTTTACCCTGTACCAGTCACCATAAAACCCAATTTTCTTGTTATAATTTGTTTTCTGATATATCTAACTTAAATTAGCATAGCCATAAAGCTAATTAAAAAAGAACCCATAAACAGACTCAAACCACTTCCACTTTGAAATGTTTTTGTTAAATTGAATCACTATTCAAATGACGCTGCATCACCTTTGATATATGTACTCCTAGACTTCGATGTATTCCTGAGCACTGCATGCATATAAAGATGCCTAAGTTCACACTAGCCCATCTCGGTCCTCTGCAGAGCAAGATTATAGAACATAGAGTCAAATTGTTGAATCAATAAAAAGTAACAACATGTAAAATACATAACCGTCCATTTTTATGGATCAATAAGTATATTTTTACTTGGTTTCCCAATCTCAAGAGATCCAGATCAGAAATTTAGATGCGACCAGATACATACTTAGCTTTGCAATCAGCACACTCCCTATTTTCTGGTAATTTAAGAAGTCCTTCCAGTATCTGCATGTTTCAGTAAGGAAAAGATATTATCGCATAAGGAAAGGAAAACACACTACGACAAATTTCAAATTAAGAAACATTAATATAAATGGAATATCACCTGTACCAAAATAAAGAATTGTGAATGCAAATTCCACAACATACACTAAACTATGGACGCTTCATACTGAAAAACTCATTTCCAATCAGTAGAATTGAAACCAGACCCAGATTTACATAAGTGATAAGACAAAAACCAACCATCCAAAATTTAGAAGAATGCTCACAACCAATCTATCGAGTGCCACCCTTTTGATGGGTTAAATTATCCTCGAAATTAGAAAATTAGAACTACTCAGGTAACTTTAAATACGCAAAAACTAAAATTATAAAAACTTATAAATCAAATCGAAGCAAGGAGAAAAATCTGAAATTTTATGCCGGGTAAGATAGATTGTGAGAATGGATAACACAAGTACAATGAAATTAACATTGGGTCCTACAGATCCAAAGTAGATCATTGAGCGGGCAAATAGCATCAACGCAACCCAAAAAAAAAGAAAAATGGAAGATTTAAATGCATAAGAAATAAACGCGACTACCAAATTACTATTCTCAATCCCCACCAAGCAACCAAGACAGCTCACATCAATCCGTAAACGTATCATAAACAGGTAGATCAAGCTCTCGCAAAACAATTATCCGAAACGACATCTCTACAAGCTAATTATACCATAAGCTTACACGCTCGGGGAAAAAAACATCAATTTATACCTACGATTGGCTGATATATATATATATATACACACACAAATAAGCGTGCGATTAATTTCATATCCAATCACTATTCGATCCCAGGTAACATCTGACAACGGGTTCGACAAATTTTTTAAATTTACAAATTTAATTAAAAGAAGATGAAAAAGAACCTTTTTATGCTTGGCGTTGAGCTCCTTAGACACGTTAGCCTTCTCGTTCATGGCGGAGCGCAGAAACAACAAAAACGAAGACGAAGCAAGAAGATGGAAAAGAAAAATCTAAGAGAAGCGAGAGAGAGGAAGATGAAAACGAAAGGCGAACTGGGTATTTTTCACGCTTTTCTATTTCCTCTCCCTCCCACTCCTCGTCGTCTGATTATTGAGCGACAAAAAAAAAAAAAAAAACCAGGACAACAACAGAGAGAACCGAGAGATCACAAGGGAGACATCCCTCCTTGACTTTTATTATCTGCGCTTTCCCCTATATTTTCTCGCTTTTAGTTTTAATTTAAGTTTTATTGGCCCACTCGCTTCTATTTCTATTCTTGCTTCTTATTTTCGATTCCTTTTTTTTTTTTTCTCTTTTTTTGATAAACTTCCTTCGATTCCTGTCACTTTTCCACGCAAACATGTTATGTGTGTGTTTGTGTATTTTATTTGTTTGGCCGAGAAGAGAGAGAGTGATGAGCTGTGTTAAAGACATACTTTTGTCTAAATAAATAAAGAAAAGAAATAGTGATTGAGCGAATGGAGTACCTAATTCTGTCCTGATGTGGAGCCCGTGGATTATAAACCATGAATACAAATCTTGTCAATATATATATATGTACATATTTTGAATCGTCAATATTAACAATAAGAAGAAAAAAAATGAATCGGTTACCTTTTCTTTAGAATGATTTGATCGAGAATGTATCCAACTTTGAATAATTTGTTGGCCTCCTAATAGAGTTTTTGAAGTGAAAATTACCTGCGATATGTATTTTCAAATTTGTATCGGTTATTTCCTGTCAAGATTGCCCGTATGATATATCCTTTGTTAAAGCATTCATTTACTAGATCTTTCAAAAACTCTCATCTAATTAATGAAAGTCTGAAGCTATTTTTTTAAGTTAAGATTTATAATGTTAGCTTTAAAAAAAACTCTTGTTTATTGATGATGCCGTAAAAGTGTAAATTAAATTACGTGTGGCTGAAGTTCAAGACAAAATAGTCCACTGACGCTATTCTGTCGCTTTTCTCCATGGGCAATTGAAAATCAATACATGCAAGGTTTGAAGTGAAAGCCAAGAAAGCAAGATATTTCTTGTGTGTGAATAATTAATTTATGAAATTATTTATAAATGATCAATCAATCGATTAATATTTAAAATCGATAATAATTTTAGTATGCCATATACTATCCAAGATAGAGAAAGAGGAGGCATGTGACATGCTCCGCGTGTATGACAGGATCGGGGTTGGCCTATTGGCCCTTTGGTATTATTTGAAAAAATAAAATCACTGAGCTGTGATTGTTTTCTTTTCCAGAGAGACATTTAGATTAGACTCACACATCGCCCGTGCGTAGCTTTTGTGTGTGATACTGTGTAGTCTGGTTTGACTTCTGTCAAAAATCAAGAAAGAAAGAAAAATCAGTGGCATGTAAAGATCGGATGAAATGCATAAATTTTTAAAAAAATGATAATAAAATTACTTTAAAATGTATAAATGATGATTTAATTTTTTAAAATGTCATAATTTCTAAAAAAAATTTAGAGATTTTTCTATCATTAATTAATTTATATAAATTACTAAACTGTCATTGTTAAAATTGAATAAGTCACAAATTTTATTTAAGTATTCACAATTTTTTTTCTTATATTTATAATAATGCAACAGCAAATAAGAATTTAACATATAAAGTTATGATTTGTTATTGTATTGTTGTGAATATCAAGAAAAAATTTGTGAATATTTAAACAAAACTTATAAGTTATTTATTTTTAACAAGAATAATTTTATAATTTATATAAATTTATTAATGACAGAAAAATTTTTAAATAACTTTTAAAAAATTATGATATTTTAAGATATCAAATTATTATATATATATATTTTAAAAAAAATTTATTATCATTTTTTTATATTTTTATTATCGTTACAATTAAACCATGAAACATCGGACCTCAATAGCTTCAAGGCAAAGAGTTACGGAATATCCATGAATTTTGTCCATCGGTCATTAATCAAAACTATAGTATTACTTCAGTTTGCCCAGCTTCATAGGGGGAAGTTAAAATTAAAAAATAATTTGTTTTTTTTTTTGGGTCTAAGTCCATTAATTTCCTTCAAGCAATGGGAGTTGGTGAATTACAATTTACAAAGGATTGATTACAGCCTCATGTAAATCGATTTGATGAGGAATGGGTACACCCAATTGCCAGTCCCCCCCTAAAAAAAAAAAAAAACCCAAAAACGAAACATGTTTAAGAATGATGATTTTTCCCCGTTTTTAACTCCGATACAATAAAATAATAATCGAAATGCGGGGCCACGAGGCTCGCTTGATGGTGCCTACGTGGCAGCGGACACGAACGCAAGGCAATGCCCAGATTTCAATATTGACGTGGATAATCCAAATTTAAAATATAATTTTATTTTATATTTTTAAGAATAAAAACTTATAAAAATTATATTTATTTTATAATTATTATTCTCATCTGGAGTTTGATCTGATGGACCAAGTCACTGTCATGAGCACCAAGATGAGCCCATTCATATCCTCGTTTTCAAGGTTCCAGTGGCCAGTATTGAATTTCTAATTTCTAGCTTTTCCATGAGCACACTTGTGCAAACCTCTGTTACATTCTCGACCTTTAAGTCCATCTCCACTTATGAAGACTTATACAAGAAGCGAACTTTCTCTTTCTCCGTTATAGTAACAAGGCTGGCTTCTATTCATGACTTTGGTTTCAGTTCAACAGGGTTCGGGGAGAGATGGCGCTTCCTGGGAGAAGCGAGAAGATTCACGAACAAGGTTTTATTGGAAGAGAGGATATGCAAGGGAAAGAAGAAGAAGAAGAGCAAGAGGATGGTGTTGGCGAAGAGTAATCAAGGTTTTGGCTTCAACGATGGTGGTGGTGGTGGAGATAATGGGACTACATCAAGGCTTTTGGCCAATCTCGCTTTAGCTATTGGCTTGACTTATCTTTCCATGACAGGACAGCTTGGCTGGATATTGGATGCTATTGTCTCCGTTTGGGTAATGCTCTCTTCCAAATCTGTTTGTCTGCTTGGCCTCTAGAGAATTTTGGTAATGATAATTGGCTTATATTCCAATGAAGCTTTCCTGCAATATTAGAAACGCATGTTAATGAATCTGCACCTATTCATTCAATCATTCTATATCATCCTCTTTATGAGCAGTCCATCCCATTAAATCCTCTAATTGAACTTTACTTTGCTATCATAGTTCAATGATATTTCAATGGGTAGAAATTAGTGGAGCAACTGAATAAAGCAACAAGTAATTGATTACGTTGCCGATCCATTTTAAACATTCAGCGCCAATAGATAAATTAAAAATTCCTTGCTTTTGGTTTGAAATCTCATGGAAGACCAAAGAATGGCCTGATAGTGTACACGTGTGAGTCTAGGTTGCATAAAAAATTTTACATTTCAAATCCATGAGTTTGCCCTGGGAGGCTTCTTATTTCCTGTTGTCACATTATTTGCATTTTTCCTGTGGAAATTGAAACACCCGAGGAATAACTCTTATTTCTGGGTTGAATTTGATGTTATGTATATGTAGAATTTTTACTCCAAAATCAATATATGTAATTGGATTTGGGACTTTTATTTTTCTTCTTTTTTTCATTTGCAGATCTTTGCAGTGCTAATACCAATAGTAGGCATTGGTGCTTTCCTCTGGTGGGCAGGACGAGATATAATGCAAGGCACTGTGAGCCACCTTCAAATTTTCACTCTGAAACTCCATTTGTAAATTCAGATTATGTAGGATATATTGAAACTTAATCACGTTCTTTATTTAATTGTGTTTACTTTCCCTATAAAAGTTACCTGACCATATGTAGTTTTTGAATAAATAAGTGCAATGATAAATTTTTATTAGCGACTAGAACATTGGTTTGCTTAACACGTTTTTTGGAAAAAGGAAACTATATCATCAACATCTCATAAGGAATATCTAGTCTCATCTATGTATGGAGACTCTTGAGAATATTTTGCATTCATTAAGTCAAGTTGATTATCCACAAGAATGACAAATATTTATATTGTGTATGAGGCTTTCAGCCAAATGTTTCATGGTCTGAGGAACAGAGGAAGAACTAGAAAAAACTCTTGGATCCAATCCCTCTTTTGCAATTCATGTCCATTTTAAGTCTTTAAACATTGTGTATTTTGAACTGTGGTTATTAATGACATTTTTTTTCCAACTGAATAGTTGTTAGGAAATTGACTATTCAGGAAAACCGGTGAGAAAAATTAATTTATATTGTGTCTTTTTATTCCATAATTCATTTCATTTTCTAATACCACTTTGTTGATTTGTTACTTCCACTGAGTGTTGCTCTTTCTGTTGTATATGCAGTGCCCTAGTTGTGGAAATCAATTTCAGGTTTTCAAGTAAGATTTTCTCAAAACATGCTACTGTCTAAACTCATGTGATTTGCTTTTTATTAGTTCTCAATGACCCTTTGCATTATTGTTTTTTGTTTATCTATTGCAGATCCACTCTAAATGATGAGTTGCAGCTGTGTCCTTTCTGTGGTCAAGCTTTTTCTGGTAAAATCCACTCTTATATTGTTTTCTTTGCATTATTGATTAAAACCCTTTCCCTTATGAATGGTGCATTTGCAAGCTTATAAACATCCCTAGATTCTTTCAGGATATAGTTTTGAAATTAATTGACTGATATCCTCAATTGCTTTTATTTACCAAAGGAGAAACCTTTTTATCATTGATAGAGACATCTATACCAATGTGATATTTCAATGCTACTACCATTTGATGGTTTCGGAAGCAGTAAAAATGAAAAAAGACTGCTTTCTATCTAATACTGTCATATAAATTTGGTAATATTCAATCAATGAATTGAAATGTGCATGTTTCTCACAGTTAAAGAAACTTTCTTTTTGATATCAGTTGTTGGCAACGAGTTTGTGAAGGACTCTGCGAAGTTTTCAAACCAATCCACGACATTTGGACAAGCGTTCAATGACTTCTCTCGTTCTAGAAATGGTAATTCTTCCAATAGTTGTCTTGATCCCTTCCAGTGCACAATGCGTATTGTAAATATCCCTTCCCCGACTGTTTGACAATTGTTGATAATTTCTGGTTTGGTTTTGACCGTTGTAACAGGAAAGGATTCAGGTGGAGTGATTGATATTGAAGCAGAGATAAAAGATGCAGACTGACTTTAATTGAGGAAGGTGAATATATTTTTGTTAGAGCTCTGCTCTAAAGTAACTAATAGAACCAAGCTTTCAATGTAAAGAGAAATAAATGAGGGAAATTCTGAGGTTTTTGATATTAATGCATATGAACTGAATCAGTGTTACAAGAGAAACTCACTGATTCTAGCCAAAACCCTATTCCCAACAACTGAAATTACAAACTAAATGGAAGAACACAGCAACAAGAAAAGGTCTCTCACTGGTGTTCGAGAGACCAGCACTCTCCTCACTTCTGCCTAACTTCTCTAAAACATCCTTGAGTGCCAACAAAAATAATACAGCCAAATAAAGCAAGCAAAAAGGTGACTTCAATATCGAGACTAAATCTAAGCCACCCTACCAAAACATCATGGCATAATCCTTCTTTTCTAGACCCTCAGGATATTAATCCTAACCCAATGGGTATTTCCTTTCTACACCCAACTGCCCCCTTGATCTCCTCTTATAAGTCTGACCATATCTCACAGTCACATCATTTCCCGCCTCTAAGAGTCTCACCTTGTCCTCAAGGGGAAAATCTGGAAATTGGAGAGAAATGGTGTCAGCTGTCTCCCATGAATTCTCAAACTCGGGTAAATCTCTCCATTTCACTAAAACCTCCAGCTGGCCTGTCATAAGTTTCCGAACCTTGCATATGTCTTGAGGCTGTACCTGTAGCTCCAATTCTGCAGAAAGTGCTGGTGGTATAGTAGGAGTGACAATAGCTGAACAAACTGATTTTTTGAGTTGAGAAATGTGAAAGACTGGGTGAATGCGAGCTGTGGAAGGAAGTTCCAGCTTGTATGCGACCTGTCCAATCTGCTCTATGATCTTGAAGGGGCCATAGAAACGAGGGCTGAGTTTCTCATTAAGTCTTTTAGCTAAAGATTTCAGCTTGTAGGGTCTGATTTTGACATAGACTAAATCTCCAATGTCCAGCTGTATCTCTCGCCTATGTTTGTCAGCTTGCTTCTTTATTCTTTCTTGCGCCACAGTGAGGTTTTCCTTTAAAATGGCAATAATGGAATTCCGGGACTGAATCTGTTCATTGACAGCTTCAATGCCTGACGGTTCCCCATTCAACTTAAAAAAAGTAGGAGGGTCCCGTCCGTACATCGCCTTAAAGGGTGTCATTCCAGCAGCCCCATGATGAGTTGTGTTGTAACAATATTCAGCCCAAGGTAACCATTGCGCCCATTGGGTTGGTTTCTCACTGGTGAAACAACGCAGGTAAGTTTCTAAGCTCCTGTTCAAGACTTCGGTTTGGCCATCAGATTCCGGGTGGTAAGCAGAGCTAAGACAAAGCTGAGTGCCTGCTTGCTTAAATAATTCCTTCCAAAACTGACTTACAAACACCCTATCCCTATCTGACACAATTGTTTTTGGAAACCCATGCAATTTAACAATGTCATTAATGAATCTTTCAGCAACTTCTTTTGCTGTAAATGGGTGGGTCAAAGCCAAGAAGTGGGCATATTTTGTCAACCTATCAACAACAAGAAGTATGACGTCATGTCTTTTGGATTTTGGAAGTCCTGTAATGAAATCCATGCTAATATCTTCCCAAATTTGTTGAGGAATCGGCAAGGGTTGTAACAGCCTAGCTGGAGTTAATGCTTGATATTTGTTCTTTTGGCACACGTCGCACTGTGACACATATTGTTGGATGTCTTTTTTCATGCCTTCCCAATATACAACAGTAGAAAGCCTCTTGTAAGTGCGCAAATAACCTGAATGGCCTCCGGTTGGTGAATCATGAAATTCCTTCATGAGCAATTGAATTCTGGTAGACTTCTTTGGTAGCATCAATCGTCCTTTATAGTGTAGACAACCCTTCACAAGGCTGTATCCCTCCAAATTTCCTTTCTTGGTAATGACTTTTTGCAGTATATCATTTAACTTAGGATCAGCATGTACTTCTTTCTCCCATTCTTCAAGGTCACCTTGCTGCCATAAAGAAAAACCATGTATCTCCAGATTTTCTTCTTTCCTTGAAAGTGCATCCGCTGCACGATTTTCCTTGCCCGGTTTGTAAGCTATTTCAAACTTGAACCCCATTAATTTAGTGATCCAGTGCTGTTGACTTTCTTCTATAATTCTCTGTTCCAGCAGAAACTTCAAAGCTTTCTGATCTGTCCGGATGATAAATTTCTCCCCCCATAAGTAGTGTCGCCATTTCTTGAACTCCATAACAATTGCCATAAGTTCCCTCTCATAAATGGAACATTGTTGAGCGCGGTTAGAGAGCTTTTGGCTGAAATATGCCACTGGACGGCCATTCTGCATCAGCACTGCTCCTATTCCAGACCCGGAAGCGTCTGTTTCCAACTCAAACGGGATGGAAAAATCAGGCATAGCTAGTACTGGGAGAGAAGTCATGGCTGTCTTGAGACTTTGGAAGGCTTCTTCAGCTTTTGGGGTCCATTTAAAGGCATCTTTCTTAAGTAAATCGGTGAGAGGACTAGCGATTTTTCCATAATTCTTGACAAATCTTCTATAATACCCTGTCAACCCTAGGAACCCTCTTAAGGATTTCACATTCTTGGGTTTAGGCCACTGCACCATACTCTCAATTTTGCTGGGATCCGCTTGCACTCCCTCCTTGGAAATGATATGCCCAAGATATTCAATTTTTGGTTGGGCGAAAGTGCACTTCTTAAGGTTGATCACTAGCTGGTTCTCTTTCAGGATAGACAAAACAGCTTTCAAATGTTTCAAGTGAGATGATAAATCATGGCTATAAATAAGTATGTCATCAAAAAATACAAGCACAAATTTCCGAAGATGCTCTCGGAATATCTCATTCATTAAAGATTGGAATGTGGAAGGAGCATTGGTTAAACCAAAGGGCATTACCTTAAATTCATAATGTCCCTCGTGGGTTCTAAATGATGTTTTATGTTCATCTCCAGCCATGATTCTGATCTGATGGTATCCGGACTTTAAATCCAGCTTGGTGAAAATGGCGGCTCCTTTTAACTCATCCAACAACTCATTTATAGCTGGTATGGGAAACTTGTCAGGCACCGTGATTTTGTTCAAGGCTCTATAGTCCACACAGAATCTCCAGCTTCCATCTTTTTTCTTAACCAACAAAACTGGACTTGAATAAGGACTTTGACTGGGCTGAATGATACCTGCTCTCAACATATCTTTCACCATCTTCTCAATTTCATTTTTTTGAACATGAGGGTACCGATACGGCCGTATGTTAGGAGGTTGTTCGCCTGGTTTGGTTGCTATTGCATGATCATGAGAACGAGTTGGTGGTAACCCTTTAAAAGGTCGACAAACTATAGAGAATTGGTCCAGGAGGTTCTGAATTTCAGGCGCCAATTGTATAGTTTCAGCTGTTGTTTCTTCATTATTCATCCCATTATATTCGATCATGTACCCCTCCCCTCTCTTCTGTACGGATCGAATAAATGACTTAAGGGAAACCAAGGCCTTGGTTAGAGCAGGATCACCTTGTAAACACACCTTGTTTCCTTTCTTACCAATCTTCATGGTCAGTTGCCCCCAGTTAACCTTCACTTCTCCTAAAGATTTTAACCATTCCACTCCTAGTACAACATCCACGCCACTGAGTGGAAAGGGGTAGAAAGTTTGAATAATGTCCAGGCCTTGTACCTGTAACTTGAGGTCATTGCAGCGTTGCTTCCCTTTAATACTAAACCCATCCCCAACAGTGATAGAATAGACGGCAATGTCCTCCACTGGAATTTTTATTTTGGTGACTAATTCCTCAGCTATGAAGTTGTGGGTAGCCCCACTATCAATCAAAATCACAATCTCAGCTTTCTCTAGTCTCCCACGTACCTTCATAGTGTGATTCCCTCCAAACCCAACTATGGAGTTTAGTGATAACTCCATTCGAGTTTCATCTTCTTCGGCTTCTTCACTATCTTCAGTGCATATTGGTTCATGGCCTTCGGTTCCCTTCTCGGGCTCTAGCTCCAGCAACATCACTTGCAGATTTTTATTTTTGCAGATGTGATTAGATCCAAATTTATCTGCACATTTGAAACACAAACCAAGCTCTCGTCGACGAGTTAATTCCACATCTGACAGTCGCTGGGTTCGTCCCCCTGGACGCGACGACGTTGTTCCTGTCGTGTTGCTCGCTACTTTTGAGTCTGCCATTTTTGTCTCAGCCCGTTTCTGGAGTCCCGAGTGTATTGAAGAGGCGTGCATGCTTTTACTGGGCTCAGCCACATGAGTGATCCGTGTGAAAGGAGTTTGGGCTGGTTCATTTTTAAGCCCACTTTGAAAACGCTGGCCTCGCAGAAACTGTGAGTCTTTGGCCTTCTCTATTACCTGATTCCTCTCATCCACCCTAATAGACATCTCCATAATTTCTCTAAGGGTACTGGCGGCCGTGAGCTTTAATTCAGCCCTTATCTCTGGTTTTAGTCCTACACGAAATGCTCCAACCACACACGATTCTGATGCGTCTCCCACCATAGCTGATACGCGTTCGAACTCCTCCACATACTCGCGCACAGAACGCTCCTATTTGACTGCAAACATCATCTCATATTCATCCCCAAGCTGTGAGGGATGAAATCGACGCAGAAGTTCTTGCTTGAACTCTGACCATTCTCGAATAGGTGCTCGAGTTTCCACCCATTGATACCAGTTAAGGGCCTTACCTTCGAGGCACACGATGGCTGCTTCCAGTCTCTCCATTTCAGCCACAACATTGATTCAAAAATACCTTTCCACTTTGAAAAGCCACCCGATAGGGTCTTCTCCATCAAATATTGGTAACTCCAGCTTCCTGTACTTCCCTACTTCTTTTTCATGATCTCCGGTGCTTCCTGTAGTCTCTTCATGGCTGGGTTGATCTTGTTCAGGAGGTTGGTCTGCACTTTTCTATTTCTCTGCTATTTTCTCTAATTTATCTTGCATCGTCTGCATCATCTCCTTCATCATGATCATTTCTTTCGATAGTCCTCCAACAGATTCTTTCAACTCTTGTACCTCGGGATTGGAGTACTGCACTCTTTCGGCCATCTCTCTTGCGCTTATCCGAAGGTCCAAGGATTGCACGGCTCTGATGCCAATTGTTAGAGCTCTGCTCTAAAGTAACTAATAGAACCAAGCTTTCAATGTAAAGAGAAATAAATGAGGGAAATTCTGAGGTTTTTGATATTAATGCATATGAACTGAATCAGTGTTACAAGAGAAACTCACTGATTCTAACCAAAACCCTATTCCCAACAACTGAAATTACAAACTAAATGGAAGAACACAGCAACAAGAAAAGGTCTCTCACTGGTGTTCGAGAGACTAGCACTCTCCTCACTTCTGCCTAACTTCTCTAAAACATCCTTGAGTGCCAACAAAAATAATACAGCCAAATAAAGCAAGCAAAAAGGTGACTTCAATATCGAGACTAAATCTAAGCCACCCTACCAAAACATCATGGCATAATCCTTTTTTTCTGGACCCTCAGGATATTAATCCTAACCCAATGGGTATTTCCTTTCTACACCCAACTGCCCCCTTGATCTCCTCTTATAAGTCTGACCATATCTCACGGTCACATCAATTTTCTCGTAAGATTTGTTTGGTTGCTTGCTTATTGAAGAATGTGATCAATGGAAAATTTTCTACCTGATAGGTGTTTGATGACCAGAGTTACTAACCTATCTATTTTGATCTGTATGCGTGTCATTCCTCCAGCTTCGCTGCATGTGCATGGTTGAACCCAATTAGCAAAACCAGTCTTTGAATTGCAATTCCCAAATCTCACCTAAGATAGGAATACTTGATTATTCTTTATGCAACAATTTGGTATGAATAATGGGTATTTTGGAATATAGGACTGACAAATTTAATGATATTCTAACAATTTGCATGCACATGTAAGCATGACTTAAAGATTCGACGATGGATTATAGTGTGGTTTTGTACTGGCATTTGAATTTTGTCTATCTTCGGCGACTAATAGCTTACTAAAAATTGAATTGCATTATCAAGGTGCATGTAATGGAGATTTTTGAAATTTATGCTCTGAAAGGCGGTAGGCATCATATTCAGCAAAATGGTGTACATATTTTAGAAGAGAATGGAATGCTGAGTAGGCATGCAATTGTTAGTTGTTACAGAAGTTTTTCGCCGTGATGATTCTCATGTCAGGCCTCTGTATATTATTTTGCTTAGTGATTCTTTACTATATAGTTCATGAAGGGAATAGGAATTTGTATCAAATTGGTTATCGCTGCTGAGTTCATTATAAGCTCGTGAGGATTCTCTGCTGAGTTCTACGAAATTTACCTCTGTTTCTGTGGATAGATTACTGAACTTTGCTCTGGTCCTCGTCGTTTCTCTTTGAGATAACACTCATCTCCCTTTCGAGTTATCCCTGGAAACTGGAAAGAAAGAAGAATAAGTGGGAAATGTCTAATGGGTTTTTATTCCAATGTAATCCGGCATCCACATTTGATTGACTGTGGATCATGATGAGACGATCCATGCTCCACTAAGCTTTGACACAACCCTCAGCTTAGCTGTCAAAGCAAATGAAAGCTTGTGCTAATCAATGAGGAAACTAGAAGGGGTGACTATTTTCTAACTTACTTGATTTACCGTCACGCAAAACAGAAACTGTCACTCAAAGTGGCGTCACATTATAGAAGTATCACAATCCAGAGAGCTGGAGCCCAACAAATAAACTCTTTCCGTATGTTATATATAACAACTTCAAGCTTTTGTGATGGTTCTTTGACTTTCTGCAATGAGACATGAAACTAGAAAAGGGTGAGAGAATGGCATACCAAAACTTTCGAGGCATAACAAGTCATATATAACTGAAAGACCATTAACGCATGCACATATGACGTGCAGAATAATCAAATTGTGAAGTTATGGATGCTACATAGATTATGGATGGCATTTGAGTGTGGTAAAATATCAAGCCAATCATATTTTGTACATACAACCTGACGACAATTATTAGTACTGGAATGCTCCATAACCTCAACACAGGGAGGGTGTTTTGCAACTTGAACCTAGGGTTGCTGCCGAAAGAGCCACTCGTGGAGCGAAATGCTTAAAAATTTAATCCTAAGGTAACAGAATTAAGATTTTGGATAATGGAAAAGAAAATGAACGCTCCAAAATGTTCTAAGTTGCCTTCTTGGATGATGTATAAGGACATAACATCTTGGATGCTATCACTTGTTAAATAGAGATACATACCCATATTAACATGATGTTGTAAAGGCTTGATGATATGGGCATGAAGAATGCTCGAGTCAAACCCATATTCACTTGTTGATAGACAATTGAAAGTATAAATGTGCGCGCGCGTAGGATTGATGATACGAAGCATCAAATTTTTTTGAAATCAAATTTATTTAAGTCAAATTTTTATAAAATTTTCAAAAACTTGAATGAAATCAAGTTAGTCATGGATTTTCACAAATAAAATATTTGAAATAAATTAGGAATGGGAAATCTCAATAATTAAAAATCATTTTAAAATATGATTATTTCAAATTATGCTTGTGAATTTGAAAAACAATATATTTTATGAAATCATTAATTTGAATGCACAAATTTTGAGAATAATTTCAGACTTTGTGTTAATAATAACAAGTTTCAAGCATTTGAGAAATGTACATAATTCAGTTTTAGACCATGTAGCAATAATGAAAACTAATTTGAAAATAGTGAATTATAGATTAATAAAAGAATACAACAAGGACTAAGTGCTCATTACCCAAATATAAATTAATAGCATAGGATAGAATAAAGATAGATATCACCGAGATAGTGAAATATTGCTTGATTTGGTGTTTGAATGTCAAGTTTTCAGTTTTGCATGCATGATACTAATCCAAGTATCGACATTTAGCTCCCTCAAGTTTCTTTTATCACTTTCTTTATGTATTTTACTCTTGAGGTAAATTTTCTTTCTTCATCTTCCTAAAAAAATGTAAATCTTTCATGTGGTTATGGTTCCAAATATAATTAAAAAAAGAAAATGCGGAAACTCAAACTAGAATAAGAAGAGAAAAATGGATCAACCAAAATAAAAATATAATTAAAAACAAAGGAAAAAAAGAACGAGTATAGATTTTTGAAAAATAAACCAACACCAAGTGTTTTTTACAAAAATGAAAATAAAATGGTAAATGTACAAAATAAATATCACGCAGCTAAATGTTGTGATATTAATTTATATTATATCGTAATGTAGTAATATTAATTTATATTAATAATTTAATGTATGTACAAAATAAATAATAAATGTATACAACGGTAAAATTACATGTCCACGTTTTCTACCCTAATAAATGATGATCCAAGTCTGAAAAATATCTTGATTAAGCAACGGCTAACAATAAATAAGTAAATTATATTTTATATTATGTTGTTTTTTTAGTGCATATGTTGTTTTTCTTTTTCTTCCGTTGCCTCGTTGTTTATGACCGTTCAGGCAAAAAAAAAAAAAAAGGTGTTTGTGACCGGCTATAAATGAAGAGAGAGTGTTTTCACTTTCAAACGTTCCAATCCCTCTACTGCGTCTCTCAACTTTCTACCCTAACGGTAAATAAATAAACTATATATTTTTTTCTTTTTTGCCAGGTTGTTTATGATCGGCTTTAAATGAAGAGTGTTTTATAACCCGGATGCTTAACGGCTAAAATATTCATTACTTATCGCATCATCTCTCCCCAAGATTTTTTCATCGTTCTTGAAATGAAAAAATGCTGGGTTTTCAGACGGGAACCTAAATGCTGGGTTTTCTTCTTCCCAACTCTCCGATTCACATCTAAATGCCGTGTCGTTTTTCTCTCCGTGCGGGAGAGGTCTCCGCCATTTTGGGTGGTTTCTTTTTCATCGAGGGTTTGATGGCGACAAAGGGTTTAAGCAGTTCCTTTCGCCGATTGCCATTGTACGAGACAGGGTGGATGCTTGGCGAAGGGGGTCTCGACTGAATGAGAACCAAAAGGGTTCGGCACTGCTGATGGGCGATGATTGGAAGCTGGCTCTGATTCATCCGAAGGGAGGAGATGGTAAGGTGCCCCTGTTTCAAGCTGCCTCATTTTCATTTTCTCATTTCCATTGGATGTGAAACTAACTGTACTCTAACATGTAGATACATATCAGCAAATCATAGGTACAAATTGATGTTTTTTTTTTCTTGTGCATGTAAGCATGTGGTACAATTAGCTCTTAGAGATGTCGTTTGGGATAACTGTTTCGTGAGAGCTTGATCTACCTGTTTATGATACGTTTACGGATTGATGCAAGCTGTCTTTGTTTCTTGGCGGGGATTTAGGATAGTAATTTGGTTGTCACGTTTTATTTCTTAATGCATTTAAATCTTCCATTTTTCTTTTTGGAGTTGCGTTGATTCTCTTCGCCTGCTCAATTGATCTTCTATGGATCTGTAGGATCCATTGTTAATTTCATTGTACTTGTGTTATCCATTCTCACAATCTGTCTTAATTTGCAGAAAATTTCAGATTTTTCTCTTTTCTTCGATTTGATTTATAAGTTTTTATAATTTTAGTTTTTGCGTATAGAATGTTATCTGAGTAGTTCTAATTTTCTAATTTCGAGGATTATTTAACCCATAAAAAGGATGGCACTCGATAGATTGGTTGTGAGAATCTTGAAAACATGATGATGATGTTACATGAATCTTAATAATCCATGGTTTAATATTCCAATTTTTCGAGTCAAAGATACCACATTAATTCATTTCCATTTTTTAAAATTTTGGATGGTTGGTTTTTGTCTTATCACCTAAGTAAATCTGGGTCTAGTTTCAATTCTACTGATTGGAAACGAGTTTTTCAGTCTGAAGCATCCATAGTTTAATGTGTGTTGTGGAATTTGCATTCACAATTCTCTATTTTTATACAGGTGAAATTCAATTTATATTAATGTTTCTTAATTTGAAATTTGTCATATTGTGTTTTCCTTTCCTTATGCGATAATATCTTTTCCTTACTTAAACATGCAGATACTGGAAGGACTTCTTAAATTACCAGAAAATAAGGAGTGTGCTGATTGCAAAGCTAAGCAGGCATCTTTATATGCATGTAGTGCTCAGGAATACATCGAAGTCTCGGAGTGCATACATCAAAGGTAATGCAGTGTCCTTTGAATAGTCATTCAATTTAGGACTTGATGAAACCACTATGCACACATGCTCTATATAACTTATTGCTTTCTTTCTCTGTTTTTTTTCCTTTTACTTTTGATTGATTTTTTTTCTTGCATTTTAAATATTTTTTAAATATAAACACGTCTTTTTAATATCTTTGCACCTTCTTTTATTTATCTGTATTTTTTATTTAAACTTGATATTTTTATTTAGCTAAAATATGTCTTCAAAAAGTGCTGAATGCTTTATATTTTTGTTGATACCTTTCTCAATTTTTAAATAAAATTCATCTCTTATTTTTTTAAAAAAATATATTTTTGACGTGGGATTTTAGATGAAACCATCATGCATACAGACCATATATAACTCATTGCATTCTTTCCCTTTTTTACCTTGTGCTTTTTGTTGATTTTTTTTTAACATTTTAAAGTTTTTTAAAGATGAGCACATCTTTTTAATCTTTGCACTTCCTATTATTTATCTATAGTTTTTGTTGAAACATCATTTTTTATTTAGCTTAAACGTGTCTTGAAAGAGCATTATACTTTTCATGATATCTTTCTTAATTTTTAAACAAAAGTCATCTTCTATTTTCTTTAAAAAATATATTTTCAACGTGAAACTAGATGAAACCACTATGCATACATTGATACACACCATATCTAACTCATTTCATTCTTTCTCTTTTTTTCCTCCTTCTTTTTGTTAAGTTTTTTTTTAAGAAAAAATTTAAAACTTTTTTTAAATATAAGCGCATCTTTTTAATCTTTGCACTTCTTATTATTTATTTATATTTTTTGTTGAAATATAATTTTTTTTATTTAGCTTAAACATGTCTTGAAAAAGTGTTTAATGCAATTTATTTTTCATGATATCTTTCTCAATTTCTAAACAGAAGTCATTTTTTATTTTCTTTAAAAATATATATTTTTGATGTGAGACTAGATGAAACCACCATGTGCACACCTCATTTCTAACTCATTGCATTCTTTCTCTCTTTTTCCACATGCCTTTTTTCTTTCCTTTTTTTTTTTAAATGCAAGGACATCTTTTTAATCTTTTCACTTCTTATTATTTATCTAAATTTTTTTTGTTAAAACATGATTTTTTTTGTTCAACTTGAACATGTCTTGAAAAAGCATTTTATGCATTATATTTTGTCTTGATATCTTTCTCAATTTTTAAACAAAAGTAATCTGTTTTTCTTTAAAAAATATATTTTTGATGTGGGGCCACAT